TAAATATGAGGCTCCAAACTATGGTTATCTAGAAGTAGACAGTTCTAAATCTGGTAGATTAGTATATCACTGGAGTCTATATCCTTCTAGTAATGAAGTAACTGCTATCATGCTGCACATGAGTAAACTAGTTCTTAATCATTTTCAATTATAAGCAGTTAAAATCTATTCTAAAAATTGTCTGCATGTCTAGAAGCCCCATTAGAATTCCATCCCCTCAATATAGCCAAGCATGGTGACAGTCACACCACTCTGGAGAAATTCTACCTCTTTCTAAAAGGCTACTCAGAAAACCATAGATTTTCAGGACTGAAAACAACTTTAGTGGCCCAAACACCCAAGAAATCAGTGTCCATGTGCCTCTGTAACTTGTCTGAAAAGTATTTTTCCAGCCTATGCTGACACCCCTAAAGTGACAGATAACTCTTTATCTCCCAAGAAATGGAAGTTAATTTTCATTTTCAGACAGGTTTGATCATTAAGATGTTCTAATACTGAGCATGGAAGTTATTTGGCAGTTTCAACCACTGGCCCTCTGGGGGCAAATACATTGTAATATGTTTAACAGAAAGTATCTGAAGATAGAAATAAGTACATTCAAGTTCTTAAAAAAAAATTCAAGTACATTCAAGTACAATTCAAGTACATTCGAAAAAATCCCTACATTCCTTATATTTTCCCAAATATTTTCAATTTATTGATCTATACCACTGGCTTACTTTGGATCATTGGAAAACATCTACGTTTGCTTCCTGTCTTATCCTGGTCTCTAAACCTGACACACTGGCTCTTTCAGTTCCTGCTCTAATTATATTCATTCTACTGCTGTCCCACTAGCTTAAAGCATTAAAACTTCTGTGTCACTGTATAAACATGTCATATGTCATTTATGAAAGGAGACAAGATTAATAATCTGGTAAGATTAGATTTTCAAATAGCTGGTCATTGCTAAATATCTAATCTCTCCCTTGCCAAGTTAATAATTAACTTCTATATCTGTTTAGCACAATCTGCTGGACTGAACCAAAGTCAAGAGACCAGGGTTTTGTTCTCCCTTGAAGGCATTCAGGTTTCTTATTTGTAAAGTGAGGATACTGCTGATCTCTAAATTTTTGTTTATTTTTTAGCCTCTGTAGGAATACTGATATCTATTATGTTGCAGAATAAAAAAAAACTCAACTGCTTTCAACATACATCAACAAAATTATTGCCAAAAAATATTTATATTATGGGAGGATCAATAACACCTGTATTTTATATGTGAGTTGAGTGGCTTAAAAATTATTTATAAATACAGATACGATTATTTTATATATGATATAGCAATTGAGTTGGTATATAATAGGTTAATGAATATAGAAGTAGAAAGCTAGATTAAATGTGGTTATTTGAGTTATGGTCCTGCCTAATCTTTATAAAACTTTCTGGCATTTGAACATAAGAACTAAACAGCAGGACAGATAAAATGGTTTTCCTTTAAGCAGAGCACAGAGCAAAGAGAACACATTGCCCAATACTGCTTTCTGGAACATTTTTCCAGGCATAAATATATGCACTATAAATTAATAGCATTCTCTCTTACCAAAAAGAATATGGGTTTCTTCTTTCCATGTACCATCTAGCATAAAGGCAACACTCATTAAAAGTAGAATAATAATAAAGCTCCACTGAGTGGTTTAATTTTAGGAAGCATCAAGGTTGAAGATGGACCAACAAGTATATTCTATGAGATTTAGAACATAATACATTACTCTCAAAACCTAGAAACCACTGCTTAAATTAACATGATATGAATACTTCAAGACCCGGAATAAAGCAATCCTGGCTGCTCATTGTGTTGTATTAAAGCACACAAACTCATGTGCATATACGTACATACATAATTCTATACTTCACAATGTGGACCCTCTAGAAGCTATGTGGTCTGTTCATGATTTGTTTTTATCCTTATTTCCTCTCTTTCTATCTCTTGAGTTATTATAATATTGATCCCATACATTTTCCTAACATTAGAATGTATAATCTATGGATAGCAGTGTTGCTTATCAGTTGTACTTTATTAAAGACTACACCAAAGTGTTTGCCATCGATTTCCTTCCTTTTGGAATTGCACAGAGCCCTACCAACTGCTCGGCTTCCGAACCAAACTGCCAAGCACCTTTTTGAAACACCTTGCATTCTCTCTTAGACTAGGGAAACTGTTTCCACAAAAACACCAACCTCTAAAGAGGAGAGGCAAATAGATAGGGCGCCTATGCACCTCCTCCCTGCTCATGTTCCCCAAAAGAAAATCAAATAGTCTCCGAAAGAACTTGAGCATTAAGTGGTATAGCAGCAGCAATTTCACTGAGAGAGGCTTTTTGATTGTTTTTGTATGTTTTTCAATTGTAGTGAGAGAATCGGTAGCATCGTTATGAATGCAGAGAGAATATTTGCACCAAAGACATGTGGAAAATGACCTGTAGTTATCTTGGCAACCAAGAAGAGAAGATCTAGGGAGTAAGACCAGACAAGCTGGTAAACTAAGGCTGAAGTAGAATCCTGTGAGATATATTATGGGAGCCAAGCACAAGGTACCAGACAGGACCAATGACCTTACTTGCTGAGGACTGGAGTTCAGTGATTGACTTGGAAGGATACTCAAGTCACAGCATAATGTAAAACTCTCAGCCACACTGTATATCACAGAACATGTGGGGAGACCATTTCTCTAAGGCAAGGATAGGTAGTTCTTTGCTATGTGGTTATATATTCTTCTTCTTCTGCATGGTGCTTGGTTAGGCAATGACAGGTTATTGGATGACCATCTCCCAGTGGCTATATAGGCACTCAAAAGTAGGATAAAAAGTAGTGCCTACTCAAAAGTAGGCACTAACTGAAGTAGGATGTCCTTTCTCCTCAAAACACTGCTCTTTCATGCCAAGGACACTTTTACTGAGGGATTTTTAAATGCATTGCTTTTGATTTCATGTAACTTACTTGAGTAATAAAAGCTAAGTATCCATAGCTTGAATTTCTCCTGGAGTTCTTATGTTTCTGATTGATTTCTTATGAACAGTGACCTTAAAGGGCACCAGTATTCTCCCCAAGGCAGAACTTGTTATTAATACGATGTTAGGACTCAGTCAGAAGAACTCCAAGTATTGCTCCTTTCATTTTGATAAGTTCTCTATATTAGCTGCTATGTGCACCTTTATGTAAGGAATCGCTGTATGGGCCAAATGTTCCTTTCTCTAGATAGCTTATAAGCATCTGGATAAATTTGCATTAGAAATTCAATTAACTTTATATTAAAAGGTCAATTAGCTTGGTTATGATAGAGATTGTTTTTAATTACTTTTCCTTGTAGGGCTTCTCTTCTTGTCTAAGCACAAGTGACACTATCAAATGATAGTCTCATTGGCTGTTGGTTGCCTGAAACTCATATGCAAAACACACTGGAAATGACTGTCTTGGTTAAATGAATTAATAGGATGTTCTTTGGGCAATTCATCACTATTATAATTTAAGAGGCTTAAAGTATCTGTAAGCAATAATAAAGTATTTTAGCTTAAATCCTCTCTATAGTATTGTTCATGACAATGCCCTTCATTATTTGTCCATGTTGATTTCTATTTTCTTGGTGAAAAATGATGATAAAGTAAAAGGATTTTAAGGATTAGTCCTTATTACACCATATCACAGTATATTTGATGAAAAATGAACAAATAATAACATTAAAAACTAATTATCCTGTTTCATTAAAGGGCTCTTGGTTATCTTTGTGTTAATAAGGGCCACAATTCAACTTATTCATGGAGCACCAGAACACTTAACAGACTCGAGGGACTACCACTTGGCAGTAAGCAACAAGTGGCAATAGTGTCTACCTGATACCATGTGGTAATCATTACTAAGCCATCACTCAGAGAAAAGAAAACAATAAAGATATAAATATATAAGTAATATATTAGCATATTTTACATATTGATATATTAACTCAAACTTCCAGATAACTAGCAACTTAAAAATAAAGCAAACACTTCAAGAGATGGATATGAGGCAAAGTCTTGAGATGGAACTTTTTGTTTCATTTTTGCAGGAGGAAACTGCCTTCACCTTCAATGTTAAAATGATGTTTTAAGCACTTTGTAAATGTTATCTATATCATTCTCACTGCAACTTTATGAGCTAAAACTCATAAAGTTGAATTTCTAATGTTCCCATTTTACTGATGAGCAAACTTCAGCTTATTTTTCAGCCACGGTCACACAGTTCATTAGCGGCAGAGTCAGAAATAGAACCCCCACGTCAATCTGCCTTTCCTGACTTTCCATTTTCTCCCAGAATAAAAGCACAGGCTCTAAAACTAATGAGATCATGGAAAGCCCATCAATGGAGATTTAGGAGAGTTTTGAATGCTTAGAGTGAAGTTTTGGAGCTCAGTTAGAGGAAGGGAATGGTTTAGACCAGTGCCACCAAAACAATGGGTCCATGAGAGTGGGAGTAAATTAACATGTCATTAAGCATATATTTGCCCCCTTAGTGAGACTTTCTCAAGGAAGGGAGCCATGCATCAATTTATACTCCATTACATGTTTCTAATCTCCATGTGGGCCAGTAACTGTTTGCAAACCAGGAACCAGTCCATGGATCATGCTTTAAGTGGAACAAGCTTAAGAAACTTCTTATGAGATTTTCCTTTTCTGTGAACATTTAAATCATTTTGGATAAAAGTTATCCTCAAAGTTATCCCATTTTTTTTTTTTTTTTTTTGCTTATCAAAAGAATAAGAAAGTTACATCTCTTATTCACTTTACAGATAGTAATGAAGGCTAATGTCCTAAATCCTGTAAATCTATGGGGGCATTAATTTTAGTTGAAGTGGTGCTGTGAGTTTTAATAAGGTGACCTCTTCCAAAAGCAAAGGAAAATATCTTTGCTGAAGAACGAGCAGTATTGCCATCACATAGCATGATGTTTGGAGTGAAATACAAATTTTTAAAATGTGTTATTCATACCTGCACCTCCACCTATGCTTAGAATTTTAATTTCTCGCTTTGCATCTCCAATCCTAGAAAAAAAAAACACAAAAAATGTAGTTTAATAAAACTGTGTTACGTTCTTTGTAAAATCTGATTATCTAGTCTAGTTGAAAAGAACAAACTGAAAACACAATGAACAAAAACTAGGCCAACATGAAAAGTCCCAGACATATCAGTAGTTATATCGCTATCTTTAGAGCATAATATAAAAAATATAGGATTCATTCATTAACAGTCTTGAACTGGGAGACTCAGAAACAGTGCTATGAATATCTCATAGGTAGGAAATGGCATTTCTTTGGAAATTTTTGGACAAGAACAGAAAAAGTGGACCTTTGAGTCTGGTGATATAATAAGCCAGGCACTATAAATGCAGGAAAGGCTATGGTAGTTCACACTATTGCTACGTCTGCCTTCTTTCCTTCCTTCTTCTTACTTTCCTTTTAACAAACAAATGTTTATTAACCATTTATTATGTGCCTAGCCTAAGCATTGTGGTTATAAAAGTGGATAAGACACTTTGCTCTCAAACTGAAATGTGAGATAATAAAGCCCTGAATTATGGCTCTGGTGCTAGAAATAAAGTGGAATAGGTGGATTGGGAAGTAACTCTGTAGGACTTGCCTTTAGATTGATGTGAAGGGGTCAGAAAAATATGTGGGCACAATGACTACCATATTTCCAGCTTGGATGACTGGGCAAAACGTAATGCCAAAAAGGAAGATGAAGTATATAATTTGACAGCAAGTTTACAATTTGTTTTTTTCAATAAATCTGAATTGAGCAGACATTTGGATATGCAAGATTTAAGCTGGGTAGGAGAGAGATGATGTATTCTCTCAAGGCCAATAGTGTTGTCTAGAGAATGATCATCATAAAATAATGGTCAAAACTAGGGGAGTAGATTCCATCACCCAAAGATATTGCAAGGAGTTAGAAGAGTACTGGATAATGATGTAATACCAACTTTTAAAGGTCACTGGACCATGAGGAATACACAGAGGAAACAAAGAAGGAAGGCAATAAAGGTCAGAGAAGTGCTAAGAGAATCAGAGCTTGAGAAAGCCATCATTTGTGGCAAAGGCAACAGAATGTACTACTGGAAAATAAAAAAAAAGGAAAAATCTCCATCGGATTTGACAATATGAATGTCTTTGATAATAGCAGTTTTAATATAAAGTTGAGGACTGAAGTCATATGGCAAAGGGATTAAAAGCAGACTTGAAAAAAGGAAACAGATCTGGAGACTGTCGAAACAGGATGAAAGAAAGAGACGGCAGAGAGATGACCGCTAGAGGGAAAGCATGAACTGAAAGGATGGTGTTCGCTCCTTTGGACTGTGGGATGCTGAACAAGCCTGTGTTTAGAGTCGGTGCAGAGTCACAGGATGCAAACCAAGGTTGGAGTAAGGTTCTGAAGGAAGGTGGAAAGAGTAGAGTCAAGGGCACCTGTAACTGAGTTGCCTTCCTCAGTTCTAATTTATCTTCCAACTCATCGTCCTGACTCTTAATACAACCATTTTTGTCTATATCTTTTGTTCATTCTTAAAAATGCTCATATCTGTCGCTAGCATAGGAACACTATGGACCACAGTATCCAGGCTCAACTCCCAGTTTACTGATATGTTACCTTGAGCAAGTTATTTGACGTCTAGTGAAATATGGTGATACTACCCACCTTACAGGATTGTTAATGACTCATTGTATCTAACTCACGAAGAATTTGTGAGGATTTAATGAGTTAATTCATGTAAACCTCTTAGAAATATATTTGCATGTGATGAGCATTCAATACATATTAGCAATCATTATGATTCTAGGCACAGCTAAGTGACTTACATGAATTAACTCTTTGAATCTTCACAACTTCCCTATGAGTTATAGATTATTATTAATCCCATTTCATATATTATAATAACTAATAATAATTGAACATTTACTGTTTTCCAGGCAATAGTCTATATGTAACAACAACAATAATGGACTTTAGTTTTTATAGCCATATACTATAACCCTCCCTGCCAACCCCTACCCCATCCTACACTCACAGATAGGGAATTCAAGGATTTCTCTCTGGGGAAACGAACCACTTCAGTGATAAACTTACATATATTGCCATCTGAGGATCTTCCAGGAAAGAGTAAGTTTACACCCAGTTATACAGTGAGCCATTCACTCACCAAACCCTTCCCTTATATATACTAAGAGGATCTAACCATTTTTTGGTGCCTCACTGTTTGACTGGATGGATACCCCAAGACTAATCAGGTAGTTGGAAAGCTCTTTTAAGAGGAGAAACAGAGACTAAAAGAAACAGAAAAAGGGAACTCAGAAGATACATGCAAAGAACAGAGGAACATTTTGTAATAGATAAGAGGAGGTATTATATCTGGAAATGATGAAAGTGATACCATAAAAAAGGAACATTCTTAGAAACTAGAAATATAATAGCAAAAAAATTAATAGATGGGCTGAAAGATAAAGTTGTAGTGAACTGGGAATATAAGAAAACTAGGAGGTCAACAACCAGGAGGTCTGGTGTTGGATCAATAAAAATTCCAGAAAGAAAAAACAGAGGGGAGGAAGGATAAAATAATATCAAAGTTTTCCAGAACTGAAAAATCTAAATCTCAACTGACATGGCTCAGAGAGTACCCATGAAAATGGGTGAAGAAGAGTCACCCCATCGCTCAGTATCTTAAAATGTCTGAAAACCAGAGATAAGAAGAGCCTAAGAACTTCAAAGCAGGGAAAACAAAACAAAATGAAACACAATGTAAAGGTCACATGCCAAAGATGAGGAATTTGAATGGCATTCAATTTCTTAACAGAACTCTCATAACTAAAAGACGATGGAAAAGTACCTTTAATTTTGTGATACAGAATCATTTTCAGCATAGTGTTCTATATTCAGTCAAACTGTCTAACAAGGATGAGCATAGAGTAAAGGCATTTTTAGACATATGAAGACTCAAAAAGTTTAGCCTCCATTCACCCTTAAAACTCTTACAGAATTATCTAGAGAAAAAAAGGACTGAGGAAAACAAGAAAAAAAAAAGTGTCTGGTCCGGCCTCTTGGCAAACTGCTGTCCTGGTTCTTTGGGACCTTGTTTGGAAGAATTGCAAGCAGGCTGGTGTGACAGAGTGATCGCAGACAGAAACAACTTCACATAAATAGCTATCATTGCAGAAAAGAAGGAAGCTATACAAAGCGAGAATACGTTCCAGAGAGAGGAAAGGGTCAGTCTCCACAAGTGGAAAAAGATGTTCAAGACTCCCAGGTGGTTTCCTTTGAATCAGCCTGGTTCAGGAGAGGGCTTACAGGTGTGGGATGTTACCAGATGATTGATATACGTGATTTTCAGATGTTCTTCGTTTTCCTGCAGTCATTTCCCCTGATTGGTCCCAGCTTCTCCACCCCTAGGAACTGCCCTCCTGGCCTGTATCTGCCACCTCCAGATTTGATTCCTGCCTAACAAAAGTTATGGTATCCAGAATCAGGGAATCAAATACTAGACAGAGGAGAAGAAAATCTCTGGAAAATGAAATAAATTGTACAATAATTATATAGCAGACTAAAAGCAAATCTTCCTGGACTGGAAAAAGGAACAGATGACTCCAGAAAAGATGTTCCCATGGGGAAAAATGAGCAGATTTCTTGATATTTTTGAATATATTGAGAGGAGATTAATATATCCACCTGGGGGACAAAGTTGTAATAGGTACATAGAAAACTAAGAAAAGAAACTAAAATCAAGGCAATAGTCAACTCTAGGGAAACAGAAAGTTGTACATCAAAGGAAATGTAATGGTAGTACAATATATTGCTCAATTATATGTATGTATATGTACAATTATATGTACATATGTAAATAACATGTACATAGGCAAAATGATATAAACATTAAAATTTTAACCAAAAATTTTGACATAAATACAGTGCCACAATCGGGTGGGAAAAGTGTATGTTTATTTAGCTATTTTAATACAGTAAAATGAAGAAATAGAATAACATGTTATTAAAAATTATGAAAGAACGTTTCATAAGAAACAACTAAACGATTTCTAAGTGTTGAAAGTGGTTGCTTCTGGAGAGTGGAAATCAGGGATGGAATGGGGCAAGGGACCACTATTTTTGGTGGTACTGTTGTTATAGGCTTTTTAGAACCATTTGATTTTTTAAAATATGAGCATGTCTTGCTTTAATAAAAGTGAGAAATTAAGTAGGCTGGGTTCACATCCAATTAACAGCTGAGTCCACACCCAACTAACAACTGAGTCCTCACCCAATTAACGGTTAAGCCCACAACTCAATTACTACAGTGAGTCACCCACTCAGCAAACCCTGCCCTCATTCACCCAAAGAGGATCTGAGTTGCTTTTTAGTGTTGCATAGCTTTTTAGTGTTGCATAACATATAGACAACGTTAAGCAACAGTTCTCGAGGCCCTTCAGCTAAACCTCATTTCAAACAATACCTTCAGGAAAAAATTACTTTCTTAATAAATGACACTTTGATTCAGTTCCTTCCTAATTGTATTTTACCAGTGTAACACAAACTTAGTACGCGTTTGAAAATTCTTCAGTCTTTCACACATTTTTACACTGAGTATTTTCAATTAGATTATATAAATTCTGAAGACAGGGAAGGGTCATCCATAACTCATTATGTTATATCCATCCATGGTACCTCTTGAAACCAAACTCTATGGCTGCAGAAAACCAAGGATCTGGATAAGCTATAGACACAAATAAATACTTTTAGTACTGGAATAGAACTGAGAAATTAACTCATTATCTCTAATTTTAGAAATGAGCAAAAAGACCCAAGAAGTAAAACTAGATTTAGTTTCTAGATAAGTTGTCTGCATTCATGATTTGCTTTGAGTTTTACATCCTTATCCTATTATATATTAATTATTATATAACACTCCATTTTTTAGAAACTAATATTTGAAATCTGAACCATGTAAAATAGAAAGGGAAATCAAATTTCATATCCATCCAACAATGCCTGCTCTTTTCAGACAATGAATGGTACTGCCCAGGTGACAGAATTTCAGGCCTACAATATAGAAATCCAGCCAAAGATAAAATATCAGTTTCCTTTGCTGTTTTCAAATTGGATCCACAGTCAGTTATTTCTCCCCAGTTTTCCATCATTATTTCCTGAAGCGGAGTGAGTTACAGCGTTTCACCCCCAGATAGGTGATTTGATTATCTTTAGCATGTGGAATCTGTTACTCTCATAATGCTTATCAGCACTGGCACAAATTGAACACATTAATCACTAAAAAAAAAAAGGAGTCTGCAAGAAGGATAGGAACTAGTGAGTTTCACTGATAATGGAAAAATGCTCTTTTTTAAGAGACACATTACTAATATTAAGTTGAAAGAAAAAGATAATTTATTTTTTTGTGGGAGGGGGAAGAGAGCGATAACTATTAATATAATAAAGGATAAGGAAAATGGATTTGAATGGATGTTATGGGAACTGAGAGGCACTCAATCTTCAGAGGGAAAATAGTATTTAACAATTATTTATATTTGATTCTAATGAAAAGCATACCAGACTCCCTCTGGGACTTTTTTTTTTTTATTTTTTTTTTGAGATGTAAAAGTTGGAGGAGGGCTGAAAAATCTGAGTTTAAAGATTATCATCTTATCTTTTCCCAAATGAACATGGATTTGTGCCTTCAAATGGTTAAGGCTTATCTCTGTGCAGCTGGAAGGCGATGCAGCACAAAACCCGAAGCCTTTGAGTGCTGAAAGCAAACGGAGAAGCAAAGCTCAGCAGGGGAAAGGCAGGGCCGGGCGGTGAGGAGGGGCGCCGGGGGCGCTGCCATCAGGAACTCGCCCTGGTCCCCGCGCCCGGCCCCCGGGGCTGAGCTCGCCCGCCTGTCGCTGACGCACAGCCAGTCTGAGGCTTGTCCCTTTGACAGAAACGTCCCTTTTTGTTACCTTGCTATTATGCCTGGCAGCTTCTTGTCCATGAATTCCTGCATGCACTGGTGCTCCGTGGAATTGCTGAGAAACCTCCGGAAAGATTCAACATATCTGCCGTGGTCAGAAAACAAGCTCCTCATGCAAGATGCCATGTTTGGTTTTTCCGAAAGACAGGGAGGGAAGCAAGGTTTAACTTCCCCCTCCTCTTCCCAGTTCCCTCTTTCTCTCCCCACCCCCACCAGTTTCTATCCAAGGGAAGAAAAAAAAAAAAGGGCAGCTAAGCTTGTTTTGAATTGAACAGGCACCAAAGGCTGAAGCGCAGAGCTCATTGCTGGGTCAGTATTTGTACAGGACTTTACGCTGATACTTTAACCCCAACACAGTTGTTTTATAAGAAATAGAGGTACTAAAGCAAGGCAGTAAATCCACTGGTAAAACTTGTTTTAAAACTCCTGAAGTTCAGAAAGTCTTAACAACAGGCCGCATGCAAATCACTTCCTGCTCGGTCCCCAGCTGCTGCAAGTTAAGTTCTAAGTGGGAAAGTGGCCTTTCCGGGCGACACACACAGAGATAATAAACAGGACAGCTACAAGGCTACACACCACTTTCAGAAATCTGCACCTGCTGAACCCTTTGACAAAAGACTGCCACCTGCCTCTGTGGTGTTTTCTACAGGAGAGGTTTATGCTGTTACATCCCTCAACACTTGAACTTTAAACTTAACCTGCTGCCTTTCTTCAAATGCTGACTGATAGGTTGTAATTCAAGTCTCTGCGGAATAAACTATCAAGAGGGAGCCTGTGAACTGAACTTTTAGCTAGAAGGTGTCAGAAGCTGGGAGGGGGGAATAAGAGGAGTGAGAGAAAAGTCTGGAGTAAAAGCCTGGTCCATAGGAATGCTCTCCTGAGTGCTCTTCGCATGGTACTTGGCGTTGGTTGCATGAGCCTTTGGAAGCCCAGTGGTCTTACTGTCAGGCTCCTGTCCCCCTGTTCTTGGTTCCCAGTACCGAAGAATGGTTACAGGTACTGAGTTGATGGACTAAATGAGCAGGACAAACAAATGCAAGCAGGACAAACAGCAAGATTTATTCAAGCACAGAACTTTCTGAAGAGGAAAGGGGTCTATTTCTTTTAGTGGCGACAACTCTGAGATTGAATAGGATTTTCTCCTTTAGACTAAGGTTTTCATTCTATGTTAAATTGGGGCTGAATTTTCATGGCTTTTCTTGGAAAGGGCTGGAGAGTTTCCTGGAATGGCGAGTGTTCACTGTTTTTAACCTTGTAAGACAATTTCTGGGGGTTGCCATGGCATTTGTAAACTGTCATGGCCTGGGTGGGTGTGATTTTTACTATGCTAATGATGGGAGGTCACTTGAGGACACTGTTGCCTTGCTTGTGTACATGCCTTGAAGACCCCGTTTTGTGGCCTTGATCAGATCTCCACTTTATGGTTTCTCTGCCTCTTTCTAGTTGGTCCATGCTTGGAAACCCCCTATCGTAGACCAAACATCTGTTCAGTCCTTGGAAAACCCCTGGATAAGACATCTGTTCTTCCTTCTCCTTATCCCTACCTATCATCACCCTCCAGAGCACCCAAAGCTTGAGAGAATCCACATACTGGGCTTTTTTTTTTTTTTTACCTAGGAAATGGTCTTTAAGAAGGCCATTCTTTATCCAATCTAGGGTTGTTATTAATAGTTTCTAACTCATGGATGAATTGTAAGGATTAAGTGAGTTAACCCATGTAAATCTCTTAGAAATGTGCTTACGCTGTTACTTTTTTCTGATTAAGTTCCAAAACTGTCCTCTAAGAATTCAAAACATTTCCCAGCTTCTTATAAGTATGTCTTGGTCTTACTATTCTCAGATCTAGTGCTTTTATCCTAGAGGAAAATGCCAAGTCTGGAATGGCAGATTGATGTGGGTGACTCTACCCATAATGGACTATATGACCTTAAATGAAATGTACTCTTTCCTGTACTCATCTGTAAAATGGGAAGAATAAATTTTATCTCATAGGATTGTAATGAGAATGACATAGATAGCCTTTACAAAGTTTAGGCCTGTCATTTTTGCAAAAATAAAACAACAAAAATAGTTGTTGCTTTATTTATGGACACTGAAATTTGAGTTTTATATCATTTTTCACATGTCACAAAAATATTACTCTTCTCTGGATTTTTTTCAACCATTTAAAAATATAAAAGTTATTGTTAGCTCATGGGCTGCACAAAAACAGATGTTGGGCTGGATTTGGCCCATGGACATATTTGGAATAAGATCTCCCTTTGCTAGTTCTCAACTCCTATCTCTATCCAACCAGCTTCCCCTTCCTGAAATTGACTCTTGCAAGCTTTTGCTTCTTCTTTTACCATCTTCTATATTTCTCTTTGGAGTTCAATGCAAATCATTCATTCCTTCATACATTCATCTATCAAACAAATGTTTAGCAGGGTCTACTCTGTGCTATTCTGCTGAGAATATATACACTTGACCTTATTTGGGAAAGCTAGTGCTAAAACCTCTCTTAAATGAAATTCAGTCTTTTAAGATCATCACCTCCCTTGCTTGTTGTCAGATCCTCTCTCACAGAGTCTGCTCTTCATGTATATGTCATTGAGGGTTTCCTCTCGGTTCCCTGTGCTTCCATGCTACTTGAGATTCTCTTTATTTTTCACTGACTGCACTAGGAATCACAAATCCTAACCAATTTTATTGCTCCTTCCAAATTCATTTTTTAAGTAAGTTTGGATAAAGACACTCCTCTCCCTCATAATGTTTATTTACCCACTGACCCCCAAATTAAGTACAAAACCCATTCTGAGTGCCCCAATAATTATCTCGAATTATGTTCCATTTTCCTCTAGGCTTGCCGCTATATTCCCTTCAAATCATGCTGCTTATCTTCATATATCCTTTCCTGCCTTTGGCCTCCCCTCATAATAGTCCCTTCTTCTATAATGTGCTGCTTCCCATCTTACCCCACCCACTGAAAATTTTCCCATTCTTCATATGCTACCCCTTTCGTGAAGCCTTCCATATATCCCTCAAAAGAATTAGTACTTGTGCTCTTAATTTCTGAGCCTCTTGCAACCATTCAACCTTGTGTTACTGTTAATATTTTTGCCTTACTTATTCTTCTCCTCATGTGATTGTTAGCTCATAAATACAGGAACTGAGTCACAGCTACACTCCCTGATGTGTTGCCCACAGTAGGCTTTCAAAATTTTTTTTAATGATTAAAAATGTGCTTAAAGATTTTCACTATTGAGATGTTCTCTGCTCTCAGATGTTCCCCATCCATTTCATCATTGGGCAGCTCTATGTGTTACTAACAGTACTAATAATTCTATTTACTGAGCACTTGTTATGTTCCAGGAATTGTGCGGAACTTTTCAAATTTAGTATAGGATTTAGTCTTTGCAGTACATCTATGAGCTTCCCTATATTACAGATGAGGAAACTGAGTTTCTGAGAGGTTGAGTCCTTTACTCAAGAATGCCTGGCTAAGAAGTAGCAAGGCTGGTGTAGAATTCCAGTATATGAAACCCTCGGACTAGTGTTCTCGCAAAAATCTTTATATTCAGCAAAAATCTGCTTCCTTGTAACTCCTAGATAGTACTCTATTTCTGATCGCTTAAACTAAACACAGGAAGTCTAATTTCTTCTTCATACAATATTCACTCTAAAACTTTAAATCAACTCTTAGGACAACCTCAGTCCCCACGGTGTCTCTTCTACAGTTCCTAATTATTTCTTTTACAGTATGGCTTTATATAATTCATTTCTCTGGTCTCCTTCTTTGGAAAAAATTCTAGTTTGCTTGTGTTCCTTTAAAAAGTGGTGTTTGAAAATAAGCATAATATCTCAAAAGCTGCCCACCAAGTAGAAACTCCATTACTGTCAGTGCTTTGACTAGTGTTTCCCAATGTTTTGCCCAACCAAAATTCTTTCAAATTTTACTAGGTACTCTGCAAATAATGGATTTAATGGTCAAATAATTTAGAAAGTGCTATATTCAGTAGCTTCCTCTGGATATTCATAATGCAAGTTAGTACTTTAAAGGTTCACGAAACCTTTGTCATATACCTCCTTGAGATGCAGATGTACTATGTCTATGGTACTTCTCTGGTTAGTCTTGCAGCTCCTCAAAAAAATAAAAAAAAAGAGAGAGAGAGAGGACACGAAAATCTTGTTGCTTTCATCGTGACTTGTTTGATTAAATGCTGGTTTCTGCAATCACAACTTCCTTTTAAAGTTGCTTATAGAATATCTGTTTCATAATCCATAATGCATCTGGAATTTCTTTGAAGATTAAAACATCTAGCTGGCTGGTTGAAATTACTAAATCTTGAGAATCCTTCTTTCCCTTTTTTTAAAAAACTGGAGCAACAATCTAGCACATCCATCATTTGCCATGATTTCCAGGTTACCAGCAATGACATTATTATTTCCTTTACAAGTTCTTTCAGCACACTGGGGTATAGTTCTAGACCTTAAGTGATTGTCTAAGTTAAAATTCTTATTTATTTTCTTACCTATTTGGGGCTTCCATCCCCTGTTACTTAGCCATTATTAAGCTGTTACTGTGTCAAAGCGCCTTATATACATTATCTCATTTAATACTTCTAACCCTCAGGAAACGAAACTATTGTATCATCAAGTGAGACTCAGACCAGATATATTATACAGGATCACATAATGCCTAAGAGAAGAGCCTGGATTCCAAGGATAATTGTTTTAAAAATGTTGCCATACTGCCTCTCACCAATACCATTTCAATATAAAGACTACTTACCATGTTAGAGAACACTGAGCAAAGAAGTGGAGTAATTCTGTATTCTTCCTATCACCTGTTAATAGAATACCATCTATGCTAGGTCAAAACACAAAGGCTGCCCCTTGTTTATCCTTCTTGCTTTGTATGTGCTAACCCAAAAAGTAAACGAATGAACAAAAGCAAAGAAAAAACAATAGTGAAATCCTCTGGGTGCATTTTTTGTAGATAGCATTCTTCAGATAGCTTCATTCACCCTGGTCTTTAGTCTTCTGAACACTGTTCTTATTGTCTGGTTTCTTATCCTTAGTTATATGCCCCATCTTCTAAGTAGCATAATACATATGTATATGATAATGGCAATATTGTTTAAATATCTTACTGAAATAGTTCAAAGAATACCATTTTCTTTTCACTTGAGAAGAATGGAGGAAGAAGATATTTCACACAAATTGATTGCTTTACTTGATCTGCTGGTTTATTTGAAAATTAGCAGGCAGGATGATCCAACTTGGTCTCAAGGGGAGGATTGGAATCATACACACAGCATTTTAGAGCTTGATTAAACTGGTAATT